CGGAGGACACAGGGATCTTCATCATTTCTTAAAAAAAAAAAAAAAAGCAAGGCTGAAGTGGGTGTTTGATTTTTCAGTTACAGTTTCTAACTCCCATCAGCAGTTTGGTGAAATGGCTTTTCCTGCTTACTCTTAAGGAGTCTGTGGTCCTAATGTGTATTTGGTGCTTTTGCTACTTGGCAGAGAGATCATAGATAACACCAGCAAAGAGAACGGGATTGACATCATCATGGCCGATAGGACCTTCCACCTGATCGCCGAGTCCCCAGAAGATGCCAGGTGAGACACAGCTGTCGACTGCCTGCAGACGACGTCCTCACCCCTGCTCAGGCCTCGGCCACCCACCCGGCTCTGAAAAGACTGTCCTTGATTCTCTGGTTGGGCTTTTCTGTTAAGATGGTTGAAGAACTGAGTCATGAGATTGACGTGCTTGTCCCCTGGGCAATCTTCCGCTGGGCTAAGGTGTCCAAGTACCACACACAGCCCAGGATTTCCAGCTTTGAATGCCACTAGACAGACCCCTTGTTATCTCGGCTCAGGCTTTTACTGTCCCCAGCAGTGTATGCGAACCGTGCAACCACACAGAGCTGCAAGCCCACCCTCTGGAAGCTTCTGAGCTTTGACAGGGAACAGCTTGTGTTTGCTTAAGGATTGAGAAAGCAAGGGCATTAACCCCTGATTGTTTAAATAAATGATAGCACTGTGGCTTTCGAGGAGGATTTAGGGTCTTCATATTGAAGAATTCAATAGGACAGAAGAGATGGTTAACACCAGTAAGAGAATTACTGTATTTCAGGCAATATTCTGAAATGCTTCCCATATATTAACCCATTTAATTCTCACAGCCGCCCTACACGGTTAATAGCATTATTACCATTATTACCGTGACCCACATTTTACAGAGTAGGAGACTCAGGTAGGAGAAAGGGAAGCATAATTTGTAAAGTCACAGAAGCTCAATTCTACTGAACGGAGGCATTACGTTTCTTATATTTCTTAAGGACCTTAAATCTTTGACCAAGCTCAGAGGACACTGTGGTTGGTGTCCATTGGCTGGATCAAGTGGTCTCACTTTCCTGGACCTCAGGTTTCCATCCTCGTGCTGGGCAGGTGTGGAAAAAAAGGAGAGAACTGGTATCTGCTCCCCAGAGTGATGCATCACAGGGTCACACAGCGGATGAGATAGAGCAGAACATCTCTTTCTCCTGCTGCTTTGTGAGCCACAGGGCTGTGTTGGAGGTATCTGTCCTCCCCTCTGAGCAATGTCAGGGAGCATCGTCAGCCTATAGCCTTTACTTTTGAGCTCCGAAATCCTTCGAATCTTGTAATGAATTCTCAGTGCCTTTCGCTACTACCCCTTTGCCCTTTGAATGTTTGAGTTGACAGAGCACCATGGTAGCAGCATTAAGGGCAAAGAAAATAATTCTTCCCATGGGAACAAACTAAAACCCTGCTTGGATCCATAAATTATGACACAGACTGGAAAAACAAGTAAACCTGGAATTATAGTCCCGTCATTCCATCTGGGACTCCTAGAGACCGCCTGTGGTTGGTTGTGGTCTGTGGAATGCCTACAGCTTCTCAGCTGAATTACAGGCCCAGCGTTTGGGAGCCGTCCTCTCTTTTTTGGGCCATAACGACCTGCTAAATTTAACATTGGGGGCCTTTTTTTTTTTTTTTAAGTAGGCTCCACACCCAGCCTGGAGCCCAGGGCGGGGCTTGAACTCCTGGCCTTGAGATTAAGAGAGCTGAGATCAAGAGTCAGCTGCTTAACCAACTGAGCCACCCAGGGCCCCAACATTTGTGATAGTTTAACTGAGGCCTTCTTTTCTTGACCAGTAGAACACATTTTTTAAAATTCCTTTTCAGATGGAGTTAAACTTGATTCAGGAGGAGAAATTTGTAAATTTAAGAGTGTCACCTGAACAGAATGAAAGGCCAGCAAATTTTATTTGTGTGTGTGTGTGTGTGTGTGCGCACACGTGTGGGTGTGAGAGAGCGAGAGAGAGCTCCCGTGTGGCCTCCATCTTGAACATATGTGTTTTTCAGTGTTTGATTTGGGAAATTTTTGAGCTTCATAAAACAGTGACTTAAGTCTTGCTTTGAGTTAATCAGAATTGATGGAGCAAGTGTATATTGAGAGGTTTCCCTTGGTTTCCCTAGGAGTCTGTTTACGTTGCCTATTTTCAAGCTCTTGGTCACATTTTTCTCCTTTAGGAATCACAGGAGATGGATTTTAGTGCTTTGCTATAGAGACATGACTTACCCTTTATATAGATACGCATTTTTTGCTTAAATATCCCGTCATATACACCAAATACTTTGTCCTCTGCCATACTTAGTAGGAGCGTGTATATAGGTCTTATTAGCCTCTGCAGGAGAAGGCTGTCCCTAGCATCTCACATTTGGCACCTCCTACATTTTATAGTTGCTTGATAAATGTTGGATGGATGGATGGATGGATGGATGGACAGAGGGATGTGTGGCTATTTGTGGTCATTTTTCCTCAAGCCTATATTGTGACTTTTGTTCACCTTGACTTTTCTGGGGTTGACCTGTTTTCTTCCTTTGTTGTTTGATTCTAATGAGGCTGTAAGTGAGAAAACTCATTTGAGGTGAAGATAGAAGAGTTCTCCAGTCAAAAAAACCTTTCCACTTTGTTCTTCAAGCAATTGTTGTTTTTTTTAAGATTTTATTTATTTATTTGACAGAGACACAGCGAGAGAGGGAACACAAGCAGGGGGAGTGGAGAGGGAGAAGCAGGCTTCCCGGGGAGCAGGGAGCCCGATGCGGGGCTCGGTCCCAGGACCCTGGGATCATGACCTGAGCCGAAGGCAGACGCTTAATGACTGAGCCACCCAGGCGCCCCCAAGCAATTGTTTTCTGTTTCCAGCTCTCCTTTGGTTTTATTCTTACTTAGGTAGAAATCCTATCAGGTGGCTGAAAACCCCATCCTGGAAACGAGCAGGGAAGATCGACCTCAGTGGCCATCTTGAGATGGTACTCTGACATCATTGGCCTTCTTACCTTGGAATTTACTTTTAAGAAATGAAAAGGCACTTGAATATTCCCTAGGTTATAGATAACATCCTCAATAAAGATCCTTGATATAAGTATTTTGGGTGGCACTGAGGATTTCGTCATCCTCCATTCACCGTCTAGAGGTCTGGGGCAGCTGGAGGAGAGGATCTCCTGTTGATCTGAAATTGCAGCAGCTGGTATCTAAAACTTTGGCTGCTGCTTCTACCTTTGCCCATTGGTGGCATGAAACCCACGTTTACGCACGAGAAGTGTAGGCAGATTAAAAACAAAGTTGCTCAGAGGAAATGTCATTTTCGCAGAGAATGTGGAGAAGGGCATCGGTCACCATGTTGCCAGTCCAGCAGTTGGCACCTCCTTGACAGTCACTCTCTCCTTCCCACAGCCAGTGGTTCAGCGTGCTGAGTCAGGTCCACGCGTCCACCGACCAGGAGATCCGGGAGATGCACGACGAGCAGGCGAACCCACAAAATGCCGTGGTGTGTGAGCGTCGCGGGGTAGAGGGAAACGTCCCCAGGGAGGCGAGCAGCCTGGGCATTTCTAGACAATCTAAAGTAAAAGTGTAATAACTAAAGGAATATTTTGTTTAAAAATAATGCAGAAAAACAATTCGTTGAAGATTATAAGTAGTAATAGATTCCAGTCCTCCCGCTTTAAACCATTAAAAGAACAACAACAACAAAAAATCCCGAGTTTTAGGAAATCATGGAAGCACATCATACTTCCCTTCAAAGGCCTTAGTGAACTCTAACTCGTGTTCTTTCGGTCTTCACTCTATCCTGGACACATAGCGAACCATAGAATCATATTTTAGAAATAAAGTTTTCTTTTCTCCTAAGAACAACTTCACATCGAAGTTTCTTAGTGGAGTACATCTAAATTTAGGGATGGATCCTAGTGTAAGTCAGAAAATTTGTGCTATTGAAAGAAGTTTGAAACACTTTTCACTGAAAGTATCCGAAAAACAAGACAAAGATTAATTTATAATTTTTTTTAAATGAGTGAACTGTAGATCTGCCCTGTCTAGAGTAGAGGCTGTCTGTACTCACCAGCTGAAGGGGGACCTTTCTTAGATAGCCATTATTTTACAGTTAATGCAGAAAGGAGGAGTGTTTTTTGTTTGCTTCTTTAGAGAGCCATAACCTAGGGATGTTAGGGTCATATGTGCTGTACTTAAGTGGTTCTCTTCCCCCCGTTTTTGCTCCTTTCCAGGGCACTCTGGATGTGGGGCTGATTGATTCCGTGTGTGCCTCCGATAGCCCCGATAGGTAAGTTGGGGTGTGACTCAGCAGAAGGAATTAGTAACCTGCAGTCTCCCCCAGCTCTCTCTGCTTCTGGGCCACTTTCTTCTTTTCTGGGCCATGAAATGATTCTGGGCTGTGTGTTGACATCTGGTCAGTCCCAGGCTTCTTTCTTTGTGCCCAGTTTTACACCATCCAGAAGTCTTGCTCTCTGGGTATCTTTGGGATGCTGGGGGAGACTGTGGAAACCTAATTTAAACAATTAAAAACATACACACAAGAGGAATATTCTTCATTTGGATACAGGGATCGATCCAGGATTCACAGAGGAAGAAAATGTCTGCTTAGGAAAACAGTATTCCAGCGTAGGGAAGCATGTCTTTCCCTTTTCCAAACTTGATAATGAACTTAAAAAGGATTTGATTGTAATTTATATGTAGAGTATTAATAAATTAAACCACAAAGATTTTTCCTTGACATTTCCATCTTATCTGTGCCCTTTAGATAGCGTGTTTTGGTTTTGTCTTTTTTTGAAGGGAAATCATCTTCGTGGATGCCCTCAGGAGTCTGTACTATCGACTTTTGTCTTTATCTTCTCTATTTTTCTTTGCTGCCATTTGAATTCCGAGTAAGAATCAAAATTGGCTTCTGCCTTCAGGAGTATAGCTTTAGAAAGTGAATAGAAATGTATTGCAATTGACAAGAAAAATGGTGCCAACTAGGCAGAATTATGTGGAGTCTTCATCAGCCTGTTGACAGAGGCTCTTCTGAATCATAGACCCTTTATTTCTGGTATCACCCTGCGCCATCCTACACCTGGCTTGGGGACCTTAACAAGTATGTTTTGTCAATGGCCCAAGATTTTATTCCGAGGGTCAAGTTCCCACCCTCTCTCCATCTGTCTCCTCCTAAACCCCTTCTCTGTAGCAGGCTGGGTATATGAGGATCCATGCTAGAACCTTCCATCGCTGCTCAGACCCTTCTCTCCCTCAAGTGCCCTCCTTTCTCCCTTCCAGACTATAGAAAAGTCTTTTCTTTTGAAAGAGCACCCGTCTTTCCCTGTCTACTACAGTCCCATTAATCTTGCTTTTTCTTGAATTTCTGCAGCACTTAGCTACTGTAAACATTTGAAAACCTGTAAGAAATCATTCACAAGTCACTAGCTTAAGTGGTTAGATGCAGGAATTAGTAGGAGCAAGGGCCTAGGAGAGATTCAGGGCATTGCCAGACAAAGAGATGAGGGAGAAAGTAAATTTCCATTATTATGTTACCCCTGATTGGGAAATGAGCCTTTGTTAGATTGCTTTGAACACGTGGACCCAGGTGGCTTTTAGTAGCAAGCATAATCGAGTGCATAAGATGTTCCGTTTACACCTATTTACTGATCTTTTATTATTGGTGTCTGACATTTCATTACCGACCCACAGAAATATCATCCAAGGCAATACCCAGAGGCAGAAAGAAATTTACTTTGGAAAGGCATCAAAAAAAATTTTCCCCCACCGTCACCTTACTTAGCTTTCCCTAAACCAAGTGTCACCTGGAAAGTTTTGCATGAAGAAATCTTTCCCCTTCCAGGGCCTTCAGAATGTGTGGCTCCAAGTTTAAAGGTTAATGATGCAGAAAATAAATCTTGCAGAAATGAGCAAGCGTTGCCTTAGCATAAAAATACAAACAGCACTGCAGTTTTCAATCCCTGTGACCATACGCCAGGAAAAAGGCATTTGATCTTGCTTCAGACAGGTGATGTTGCCGGTAGAGCTAAGAGTCTTTGCTTCCTTCCTGCCCTGTCGCTCAGACCCAATTCGTTTGTGATCATCACGGCCAACCGGGTCCTCCACTGTAACGCGGATACGCCAGAGGAGATGCATCACTGGATAACGCTGCTGCAGAGATCCAAGGGCGACACCAGAGTGGAGGGCCAGGAATTTATTGTGAGAGGTGACTGCCACCACAGCTTTGCTTTGTCATGGAGCTCTGTTCTCCTTTGTGTAGATACTGCAGCATTTCCCGCGTGAGCAGCTTTCCTGAGGAATTTTGACTCTTGGAGTTGCTTTAAAAAAAAAAAAAAAAAAAAAAAATCACGTAAGAAGTGGCCATGGAGGGGCGCCTGGGTGGCTCAGTCGGTTAAGCGACTGCCTTCGGCTCAGGTCGTGATCCTGGAGTCCCAGGATCAAGTCCCGCATCGGGCTCCCTGCTCAGCAGGGAGCCTGCTTCTCCCTCTGCC